TATTCCTATGATGCAAAGCTGAATTTTCAGCAGCCATTATTCCGTTCTTCAGAGTCACATGATCCTTCAGAAAGCATTCTAATATGCTGTTTTCCTATTATTGTCAGTGTTGAAAACAGCTGTGCTGCTTAATATTTTTGTGGACAATGTGGTACTATAAATTATAAATGTCTTTACTGTCACTTTTAATCAATTTAATCGATCCTTGCTGAATAAAAGTATTAATTTCTGTCTTTAAAATAAACAAATAAATAATACTTACCCCAAACCTTTGCATGTACACAATTCCTTCAATAAAAGATTATCATCTGTATATTTTTTGGATTTATGTGCTTTGTTAGAATATGACATCCTTAGCTTAGCCACATGCTATCACCAAATTTTATTGAATCATCTGTGTTTTAGGTCATAATTTGTTCCAAATCTGTTTTGTTTTGGTTGATGCTCCTTTAGAAGGTGTCTGGCAATGTAGGCAGTAGAAAGCAAGACAGGTTTTGGAGCAGAGCCTGAGCGACTGGAACTTTTCTCCTAACCAAAGCGTTTTCACACAATCATGCTATTCATTTTCAAAGCCTGTTAAACCAAAAACGAGGAAACTCGATCCAAACAAGTTATGCATTCTTTAATAAAAGCCGTCTCACTAATAATTCACATGCGTGGCACTGACATGTAGGCTTCTCGTAAGTCGTCATGAGGTCTCCAGATGGAAGTCCGGTGATCGGATAGGCCATTCCCAAAAAAGACTTCAATCCGGGCTGGATGACGGTCAGGATTCCAGAGCGTCACATGGATCTGTTAATATTAAAATGCAATAAAGCTGCTATAATGAGCCTCTGGCTCGTATAATTCATTCATTTTACTCTGCAGTGACTCATTTCTGCATTTTTGAAAGGAGAGCGAAAGAAACACAGATGCATTGTGGGAGCGTTTTTGTGATTTTAATTTTACTTGTGGGTCGATTCATCTTTGTTGAGCAGTTAGTCACATTAGATTTCTTTTTTTTCCTCCTTCGTTATAAACAAATTTGAAGTCACACTTGCATGGTTGGGTTATTTTTAAAGCAAGGGCAATTACGTCTTGGGTATTTTTTATTGGTAATTATGAAACGCAGCATTGTTTGAGCATTTTTTGGCCTGTTTACAAATGCCTGGTGTCTGAAACTTTATTTCATTATAGCAATAAATTCCAGAACATTCTAAATGTTTCCAAAAGTAAATATTTTGGGGCTCCCATGATGTTGGCTCATTTCCAAGCCCTATAATTGCTGGATGCAGTGAGCAATTGCTGAGTGAAGGGAAAAGCACCTCTTTTCCTGCATTAATTCCCGCTAATGCAATAAACTGCATTAACACTTTGCATCTACACAAACAGCACACTTTATATTCAAGCCCAAAGTTCCTCAGTTAAAACTGTTAAAAAAAGTTATTATGGAAGCTACTTTGAACGCTGCAGCTTGCCAGGCTACAAGCTAAGGGTGTTTGCTGTTAAAACCAAGAGCATTTTTTGCCCTCGGGCTTTTAACTTAAAAAACAATTTTAACACTCTCACTAGTTTATTTATTGGTCCGAGGGCTGCCATATATATATATATATATATATATATATATATATATATATATATATAT